GTATGGTCCTGATCCTTTGCACCTGACAATGACTTAATTACTGAACAAAGAATACTCAGAAACCCAGGCCTTTATAGAGGGAAGAGCATGCTCATTTTATCAGATGTTTACATGTACATTTACACAGATGTTTGAATTTCTCTCATCACAAAATATATACACTTCTAATTCAGCTTTCCCAACCAGTCCTCTCTCTCTAGATCTATTGGAATACAGTTTCCATCATGTCACATGTCAGTGTGACATGATTTGTAATCCAACACATAAATAAGGGGTTTGGAAAAAAGACTGGTTTAAATAGATTAGCTACAAGAAGTCTCTGTATATTAAAGTTGTTGATCAAAAGTGTCTGGGTCCTTTGGTGAACACCTGATGTAATTCAAAACTGCCAAATCCTAAAAGTTTATCATGTCATTTGAATAGAATCTTACCAAGTAGATTTTTACAAGGAAAACTGGGTATTGCAATAGTAAGATAGTGGTAAGGAAGCCAGATTAAGACTAGAAGGACTATGGTTTGAATCCCCATCCATCCTCTCACTCACAGAGTGTTTTGGAAACAGTACTTCTTTATCAGTCTTACTGATTTGTGAGAATATAATTATTGTGAAAATATAATTAATTGAGGGACAAGAATCATACAATCATCCTGAATTCCTTGGGGAAGGAAACACATTAAAAAACATATAAACAATGAAGTTTGACTAAGGCTAAGGCATGGCAACTCTGAGTGCAAAAATCCATGTGACCACTATATGGCAACAGGAAGAGAGAAAAAACTTTGATCATCCATAGTGTTCCTGTCCTGATACAGTATTCCTAACAGCCCCATATCAAAAAGGGGGATAATTATATGATGTTACTAAAAAAAAAAAAAACCTGAAGCAGTGTCACAAATTCCAATCAGCTCAGAAACTTTAACATGGTAGTATCAGATCTTTATAGCACTTAAATGAATGAAATTAATTTGTATCTCTGGATTTCATGGGTGAACATCTAAAAAGCAAACTGGAATGCAATTTTATCCAGACGTTAATATGCTTTTCTCTGCCCAAAGAAATCTGGTATATTGCATGCTTAAACTGACAAATGAAGCTTTGGCCATCTCAAATCGTGATCCCATTTTATAAGCAAGTGAATATCTTATAAAGAACAAAATAGAAGTCTTGACCAATTTCAGGTCAGAAAGGAATGCCTGCACAGATGTGTTTTAAAAAATATTAACATACAACTCAATCATCTGTCTATCCCAGATCCCCGGGAAGTACTCAACAGGTAGACAAAAATGCCAAATCCAGTCTGAACATCTGGCTGACTATGAGACAAACCACCATAATAAATTATTAAATATTTTTTGAAGTTGGAAACCAGCCAAGAGGCAACTGTGGACGGTTGGATGAAAAGAAAAAGGAAAGCAAACTAAAACTGGCTAAGGATGTGGAGAAACTGAATGAAGACACTCCAGATTGCATTAAAAAGCAAATTAATTCACTCAAATATGAAATGAATGATCTTCAAAGATCCTAACAGTGATCTCTACATCAAAGGATTGGAAAGTAGCCAATGTAATAGCCATTTTTTTTAAAAAAAAAATGTATTAGGGACAAATGCAGGAAATTACAGTCTAATCAGTTTATTGTATGTGCTGGAGAACTTAGCGCTAAACAAATCAAGTATTCTCCTTCTAAACAAATTTGGTTCCTAAAAAGTCAAATCCGATCTCACCAATGCATTAGGGTGTTTTGAGAGTTATCACATGGGTAAAGGAGCCAGCAAATTTTGGCAGGGTTCACTGATCACACTGTCACTGTGCAATTTGGGGGCTTTGGCTTAATATAATATGTAATCCCAGCCAATAATGACTCATTTGTTAAATCATTATTGAGCCAAACCTTGTAATAATAGGGATTAAATAAATGTTGCTACTTTATTAAAGTCTACTGGTTAATTCAGTTGCATATTAACGTTTAGGTACCTCTAGTCAAATTTTAATGAAACTATAAGCAAATAGAAGTTAACAGAGCCCCTAAATGGTAAAAAGTTAAATTGGATGCTTTTCTGCAAATGTGGATGATTATTTACTATACAGGTGCAGTTTACAGTTGCAAAATAACAAAACAGTAAGGCGAATGCAAAAGTTTGGACTTCTTTCCAGCCACTACTTTGTAACACTTCCTTTGGCAGAAATAGCAGTTCCCAAATGATTTCTGCAGACAGCTAAGAAGTTTTTCTAATTTGCTTTGGAATGTTTTTCCCCACTCTTCCTTAAAGAATTCTTTTATTTCAGAAATATTATTAAGTCTTCTTGTATGTACATGTCTGAGATCACCCTATTATTCATATGTTGTTATGAATAATATTCTGGTGATTGCAAAGGCCATTCCAAAACATTTATCTTTTTTTTCCCTGTAATTGGTCACTGACACAACGAACATGAATTTGGGCAAACTGCAGGAGACAGTGGAGGACAGGGGGCCTAGTGTGCTATGGTCCATGGGGTCATAAAGAGTCGGACATGACTTAGCAACTGAACGACAGTACAATTCTCATATGATGCCATCCAAAAGATAGCATATAATTGCATTCCTTCTTCTTTTGTTGCTTGGGTGCAAGCATTGTAGAGCATGAAGGCCACAGAACTGGTCATGGGAACATATCAATATACCAATTTGGTTTTATTTTAAACTTTTGGGGAGGAATAAAATGCTCTGAACTAATAACCTTCTTCAGACGTATAGGCAGAAAAGCCCTACAGTTCCTTTCAAGCCAAAGGTAACATCGTAAGATCTAAAAGTAGAATAGTTCTCATGCACAAAATTGATTCTGAAATTGTTTATTGGCAGTGCTATGAATGTGTATAAAAGGGAAAGACATTTCAGAATGAAAAACCTAGAGAAATAAAACATAGCCAAAATCTTATTCCAGCCACGTAACAAAACCCAGAACACATTTTTTAATTGTTTTCAGATAGGAACACTCTAACATGCAGGTGTCAAACTGCCGGGCCACAAGCCGGATGCAGCATAGCAAAACCGCACCCACCCCATTGCCGGCAATAGCAAAAAAGTTGTGATACGTCGCAACACGTCACGTGACATTGCAAGTTTGACACCCCTGCTCTAACAAATACTTTTGGTATTAAAACAGCCTCTTTTTGATGTTGTTCTCTATGCCTGGAGTACTGTTGCTGCATAAAACATAATACTGAAAGCCTGTGTTTTACATGTTCATTATTGAGTTCCAAATAGGATGAAGTAGGTTGCACCTATAAGACACTTTTTCCTAATCATTATTATGACTTTCTCTTAAAATCCTGCAGTTATAATTTAGTGAATGTGTAGAATTCATATTTGTATACCCATTTTTGTCAACTGTCCTTCAGATTCCCTAAGATAGCAGGAAAAGTAGCTATCTCTAAACCATTGGAATAATTATTCCAGAGAATAACAGAACAGCAGCTGAGATGAACAGAAAAGAGCAGGTGCAAAGGCCAAGGAGCCTCAGAAGCCCACTTCTGAACTACTCCTGGGTAGCCCCAGAAGATGCACATCAGAGCTAATATCTTCTCTTTCTATACGAAGGGCAGATGTCACAAAGCAACCTCTTCTTGCAGGCCTTTGAAAAAAAAGGGCAGGTTAGGAGATGTGCAAATATTTACTCCAGTCTCCAAATAGTTGTTTATCCCTCAGGATGAATGGGTCACCTATGGGAAGAGGGCAAAAGGACCATCCACTTTCCCTTCATGCCCCTCCCCCACTTCCCTTTGAATGGCAACAAGGAAAAATTATAAGAAATAACTAGGTTACGCTTGAACGCACTTTTCCTTCAGGAGGTTGTATCTCCCCACTTTCCTTTGTATTGGATAGTGCAGCTGGGAACATTGGACCCAGTTGGATTGCACTGAGTCAGTGAGAAAGTAAAAGCTGCTTTCTCCAGTGTCTTTGTTTTGGAATGCACTGGGCTCTTTGTACCACTTACATTATTGGATACTTGGAGAGAGGAAGCAAATGAGCTATCTCTTAGTTCTACCCAATTGCACTTTTACACTGTGAATCGTAGTAATGTGGGTGAGGCCAGGGTGCCACATGGCTCCAAGATGGCTTCAGTTGTACAACAGACTAAGCCACTAGTAGTTACATAACCTTGCTTTATTAAATATCCCAGTTGTGTGGGTTAGCACCAGACAATGAACTAGAAATTAGCCGACCAAACTGAGCTTGCTAGAGCTTTCAGTCGGTTCCTAGTTGAGTAGCAGCAGTTTACTGCTACCATTGGAGGAGCCGAAAGAGACTTTCTGGACTGTAGGCAAGGTTGGCTCATGTGTCTTTCCACATCTACAATTCTGGTGAGATGCGTATGCATGGCAGAAAGAAAAAGGAGTGCGCGATGGTCCTGCCCACTGAAGCTTTGGCCCCAATGCATTTTCCATCATCTTTTCCTTGAGCCAGAAGGAACCCCACCATGCCTGACAGTGAGAACAATTAATCAGTGGAACAGCTTGCCTTCAGAAGTTGCGGGGGGGGGGGCTCAATCACTGAAGGTTTTTTTTAAGAAGAGACTGGACAGCCACCTGTCTGAAAAGGTATGGGGTCTTCTGCTTTTGCAGGAGGTTGGACTGGAAGACCTCCAAGTCCCTTTCAACTCTATTATTCTGTTATACTCCTTAAGTTAATAGCATGTATGACCCACTACTTCTGTGCTGCCTCTGACAGGGGCGATATTTTGTTGGCTGTGAGGACCTGGGCTGATGAGATCAATGGAGGCAGAGTGACCAAGATGCATAAAGCCAAACGCTGGAGAGAACAGCTCATGATCTGTCAGCCATGTACCCTAAAAAGAGCTAAGAATGGGCGCTAAGACGACGGAACGCCTTGGTCTCGCCCATTAAGCGAGGCCTGCGGAACGAGCGAGAGCCACTGAGGCCGGCCGAGCGGTCTTCGGAAAGGGCGGCAGCGGCGGCAGCGACAGCTCCTCCTCCTCCTCCTCCTGCAGAGCCTAACGGCGGCGTGACTCAATGCGCAGGCACCGGGGTGTAAATAATACGTGGCTTCTGAGGCTGGAGCAGCTCAGAAGAGAGATGGCAACCGAGCGAGAGATCTGCAGCTAACCCGGCTGCATTTGCTCGCCCGGTAGGAAAGACGGAGGAAGAAGAGGCGGATCAGGTAACCAGTCGCTTTGTACACTGCAGTCCGCTCACACCCGGGCTCCGATTGATGGTTTTTGCGTCGTGCCATTTCCTGATCCGTGCCTCTGAAGCAAGCCGGGCTACAGGAGAACCGGGAGAGGGAGAAATGATCTCTGCTATGCAAAGTGCGGACTCGAGTTTGCGCGGGCAACTCCATCCTGCAGTTTTAGAAAAAGTAGCGAGGGGAAAGAGACAAAATGCAAAAGAAAAAAGAGCAGTAATAATGAATGCATGGCCATTTTTTAAAAGAAAAAAGAAAGACAGTTGTTTGCAGTCCGGGTGGGATTTGGGGGGGGGGCGGTTCTAGGGCGCTATACTGTCTTTGTTTGAGTGGTATTTTATTTTTCAGACTGGCCTCCCAGTTTTTAAAAAAATATAATCAGGTCGGCCGGGGGTGGGGGAGAGAGAATGGACTAAATGGAAGTGAAGGGTTTAGAAGGCGAACCGTTCGTTTGGAGCGTCGAAGAGCCAGACTCTTCAAAGGTTTTATGGAAGCAAATATCAGAGAGAGGAACAGAAGTTTGACGTTGAAGAATAAATGAGAGCCTAGGTCACTGAAACCATTTGCAGAGCTCGTTGCTGGCCTTTAGCACCTTGGACAGCTCCCACTTGGGAGCGACAGGACAGAATGAAGGACATGGCGGGAGACAAATTCACACTCTAAAAAAAGACAGCAAAAGCTACCAGCTGTGGATTTCTTTCCCAACTGCTTTTTTTCTTCCTTTCAGGAAGGCAATACTTCATTTATTTAGACCTCCCATGTCTACATTCATTTATTACAAATTCATTTAGCCCTCCCATGTCTTCTAAAACTATCAGGTTACTCCACCCCTTGAGTTTAGTGGAGGAGACTTAGAAGGAGAATATATTTTTGAAGACTGCCCATCAAATATCTGATCATACAGATAATAACCATTACTTTTGTTATTATTTACAAAAATGAAACTCACATCACATTTTTAAAATGGCTCCTGCATAAAATGTATTGGCTGTCATGTTAGGTTTTGTTTGATGTTATATTCATGTATTACAGCCTCTTGTAAACATTATTTTTATTTTGGTAGAGTAATGTGATGCATTGTATAATAACTTATGTCATACTGTTGGATAACACAATTTCTCTAGCAGGCTTTGTGATTTGTTCACAGGCAATTCAGTATGTGATTCTAAGCTTAAAAATAACCGTTTGGTGAATATGTGCTTTATGTGTCATTGGCTAAAAATAAGAAAGTGTTTTCTTGATCAAACTTTTGGGGAAATGTAACAGAAATTTTCTTTTTTTTCCAGCTATAAAATAATAGTTTTAGAAGCATTTCCCTTGTGATGATGATTGCTCTGTAGAACATGAAAACATAACTAGATTTCTATGTCCTTCTCAGTGACAATAACAGTGTCCTTTGGAAGTCCTTGCCTCTTTTTCATGCTGTGTATCTCATCTCCATTGCTAAAAAAAACATTTTTTAAAATATAAAAAAATATTTTTTGCAGTTCCTCTGACTATATACATTGCTTCTTTATATGGAAGGGGGCAGAAATGCAGAATCCATGAGCCTAATGGACATAGAATACTATTTGATAAAGAAATTAAAAATGTCTAAAGTTGTGTTATTAAGGTCATAGTTTTAGTCAAAGAAGTCATATAGCTTAAAGAATTTGTTTCAGCTTTTTTTAACTTAAAAAATGGAAACATGGCATAAAAGATCAGTATATAACGGTGATAATCAAGCAAAATTAATTATTAATTGTTCAGTATCAATATACGGAAAATATTATCTGTAACTTTTTTTCTCAGAAGATATATTAATCATAATCTGAGCACACATGAGTGTATGCATATAGATTGGTTTTACTTGAAAAATAAAACTGGGTATTTTAAATCAACTTGAATATGAATTATCAGTTGGAAATAAAAATGATACTTTGGAAAATAGGTGCATGCATATAAGCTCTCATCCCAAACTTATTAAAATTATATATATATATATAATTTTGCTTGCTTGAGTAGAGAATGAGATCATTTGCACTGAGGTTTTACTTAGACATTTTTTTCAATGAACTATTCTTTCTTGTTAGTGGTATTTGCACTAAAACACAGTTTTTCGATTTTTTTTCTTAATATAAAAAGTATTATAGATCAGAAAGAGCAGTGTGCATAACATTAAAAGAAGCTCTATTTTCTTTATTTGTCCATACATTGATTGTGACAAGTTTTATTAATTTTTCTCTTAGTTTATGTTTAAATTAAGAATTATTTCTAATTATTCATAAAAATGTCACAAATTGGGTTAGAAGAATTCATTTTAGTCTTTCTTCTTTCTCCAGCTCTGTCCTGTATACTGCATATAGTTGATTTATTCACAAATTTGATTATGCCTACAAAGTACCTCTGTAGTAAAATTATACTGGAAAATCATTCAAGACAGCTTTTACCATGGTAACTGAAGATGCTATAGGATTACCTAATATGAAACTACATGTCCTAAAAATCTGATTGCATTTTTGTCATTTCTTGGTGATCTTATTGATACTATTGTTTAACCATAGTTATAAATGTTTATACAAATTAAATTTAAAAATTGTTTTCCTTTGGAAAACTGTTTTTTCCTTTGGACAGGAAAATGATTTGTCATATTTTACCATTCAGGTTTATCTGTGAAAACAGGCATCTGTTGATACTTTCTTCCTCTGTAGTTATGGCAGCTTATTTTTCCTCTGCTTTGCTGATCAATTTACTTTCTTCCTCCAGCTAAAATTACTACTGTAATTTGTTGCTGGCTGTTCCTATTAGATTTGCTCAAGCACAAGACAAATAGCTGCCTTTATAAGATGATATTATGAAATGGATTCACTGAATATGAATATTTACAGTTGATTTGAGAGCTTACTTAAGAAATTCCTTTAACAGCTCCTTTTTTTTTCTAATCCACAGTGTATCATTTTCAGAGAAAATCCATATACCATTCTTGAATGCAATCACTCTTTTGCTGTGTTGCCTTTCCATTTTCTGCGATTGGCCTGTTCACACATGGAACGGGACACTATGGCTATATCACCTGCAGATGAACTTTGCACAGCTCCAAGCATTCTCTTCTCAGTTGAGAGAATTGCTTGAACTGCCAAGTTGATAGCAGAGAGCATTAAGTCCTTGATGTCAAGAGAGAAATGGATCCTCGGAAGAATCTGTCTCTATGAATCCCAGTTTGGCAGTCTATAACTTAAAACATTCTTTCTAACAAATTTTTAGAAAGGTTGTACCTTGGATTCAACATCATGGATGTACAGTATATAGTCTGAGAGCTAGATGCCTGCCTGAACCCTTAATGTTCCAGAAATCTTTCTGGGTATTCTCCCTAAAGCTATTAAAGGGTGGTTGTTTTTTAATAATGACACTTCACTAGTGGATTATTATCCCAAGAGGGTTCATCATGTACCATATTATTTTTTTCACTCCAGACAAAGATGTTTTTCCCCCTATGCATTTTATAGCCTGTACCAGAGTTCTCCAAATTTGACCACTTTAAGGCTTGTGGGCTTCAACTCACAAAATTTCTCAGCTAGCCATTCTGGCTGGGAGTTCTAAGAATTGAAGTCCACAAAAAGTTGCCACGTTTGGAGATCCCTAGGCCAGGGGTAGGCAACCTTGGCTCTTTTATGACTCGGCTTCAACTCCCAGAATTCCTGAGCCAGCATGGCTGGCTCAGGAATTCTGGGAGTTGAAGTCCACGAGTCATAAAAGAGCCAATGTTGCCTACCCCTGCCCTAGGCCTATCGATTTACAATTTTATAATGTTGGAAGAGCTTCTTTTACTCAATTTCCCTCCAGTGATTATTGCAAGTGTTGCGTTCATTGTCTATCATTTTAATTTTTAGTCTTATGTAATTCCGGTTATTAGATGAATTAAAATTAAAATACCTGTATGATTCCCCAATAAAATTAGTCAATATTTTATTTATTTATTTATTTGGATTTTTTTTTAAATCCATCCTTTATTATTTTTACAGTATACATACCTAATATCCCTTCCTCCTCCTATTTTTCCCACAACAATAATCCTGTGAAGTAAATTGGACTGAGAGAGAGTGACTGGTCCAAAGTCCCCCAGCAATGAATTATGAAGCATACCAAGTTGAACTTTGCTTATGTACATGAAATATCAATTGGACCAATAGATCACATCATAAATGGAATACATTCAACAGCTGGGGATCCATACATATCATGTGACAGTCCTCAGTAGATGGATGCTATTGCTTAGCCAAAATCAAATGGGAAATGAGTCTCCACGTCATTTTTAATAAGCAAGTTTTGTCAGAGAATACCTCACTGAATCTGTCATTGTTACATGAGCCATGAATTGCTTCCTTCCCAAAGTTACATACTGAATGGACTGGATTACACCCTATTGTTAAGGATGGATTATATTGCCAGTAGTGCATATAAATAATGCTATATGAGTTTGACTGCCTTTAAGAAATGTCCACCAGGAAAATATGGGACATTATTCAGGGGCCATGATCATTGATTGTGATTCAGAATGAATTAGATTGATAATGTGTGCAGTATTATAGAGAGGTATGTTATTGTTCTCATTGATATTTCTTTCTCATTGGTGGAGGGAGAAAAGGAAATCGAAGATTAGCAAGAGGTAGGATGCTACATTAGAATGATTGTGCGATCTTTTGAATTAACTGCTTTCTCTCCAATTAGAAAGTCTAGAGTCTAAAGAAATCCCAACTGTCCTGTAGACAGCAAAGACGATGTTACCGACAAAGCCGTAGTAGTGTGTGAACTTTGTCAGATTGAATAGCCTGTTGCTAAAGTGTGCACAAATGGGTTAAATACACAGCAAGGGTTTCATCAGCCTATGGATTGATAGCATTTGTTTGGTTTATTAATTGCTTTATCACATTTGCCAGAGCAGATTGCAGTGAGCCCAGTTGCCAGTGGAAAGGTTTTGATATATCACTACTTCAAATTAGTGCAAAAATAATCATCCTATGCCCTACTTACATTGACAAGTATAATGCTATGATAGCTAAATCAACTTTCAATGAACTGCAAATATCATTTCCTAAAAGGTAGCCAGGTTATCTGTTGTGATAAAAGCAGGGTCATAGGTCAGTACTTTAAATTTAACATCACTGAGATATTATCTTCTGCAGTGGATAATTGTGCAAATAATAAAGCTTATGCCATATGGTAATTTTTAAGATTAGTCTTTGTTATTATTAGCCTTATTAACCTATTAAAAGTATTTATAGGTCGACAGTACAATTATTAACAGTATTTAGAGGCCAACTTATTACAGAATGGGTGTCTCACAACAAGAAATAGTTGAATTATTTAAAATACAACAATAACACAGACAGTAAAAGTTAAGCACCAATGTGGTTGCTAAAACCAGCTAAAAAGTAAAGCAGAGAAACTGGTGTGGGAAATTTTAAAGGAAAATGCAGTTGTCAGGCAATTAATTCTCTTGCTCCCAAAATCATCATTCAGTCCAACCTTTTGTGAAGAACCAAGTACTATAAAGACAGAGGGCTTATGCATATTCAAAGGACTTGTTGGCTGTAATTCAATTGGGTAGAACTAAAGTTGGACAAACAATTGTATCTCTCTGTCCAAGTTTCTGGTTTAAGTTCAATATATTTCAGAATTCTTTACCAATGCAGTAATTTCTTCACATGTGATACAGCTTTTCTCATGATTATTGCTACTCCAAAAAAGAAGCCCCAAACATATTATTCCCCCCACAACTACAAGAGTTTGTCTCTACAATACTATGACTAAAGGTTCATAATTCCAATGCAAGAGTGATTCAGGTTGGCATGTCCATCAAATATATTATACATGCTCTTTTCTTGCCCTGATGCAACAAGCCATCCTCACAAATAACTCCACATACAATATTAGGCCATAAATTGCCCATTGAAAGGACAGTTCATGATAAAAGAAAGTAATGGAACATCAAAGCAAATATTTACCAATACTGTTTTTAAAAGACTTGAATAACTTTAACAACCAATGTTACAGACTTTGAAATTCTCTGGAGGTTCTAAATTCAAGCTATTGAAAAAAATGTTTGCACATTAAAAAAGGAATCCATCTGTTACAGCCGAAAAACACAATTTTATACAGAATTGCTGTCCTATGCTCGTTAAAAAAATATAACTCATAAGAGGTTGAAAAAATACAGTGCACATTTACCCCAAACCTTGATATAATCTGTAGAATTTGAGGATGGTTGTCATAGTGATGAAAATATCAGGATCTTTGCTAGGTTTTGTCATTTGAAACTGATTGCCTTCTGATTTTCATATAATTTAAATATGAAGGTTGATGTTCTTCCCCTTCAGAATTTATCTGAGCAGCAAATTGTTTTGCAGCAAATTGTTGTAATTGCCTAATTGAAAAGGGATGTGACATCTGAACTCATTATAAGAATAAACTTAAAAACAAGAGTATGAGACATTTTAATCAAAATGTTTCAAGGAGTTCTATAAAATGAAATCACATCCAGTTTTAGGTAGCAAGTACAGTGATTCACTTCAGATTCTGTTGATCTTCACACTTTTTTTTAACACTCTTCCGATTAAACTCATTTTCATGGTTCAGTGCTTGACTATATTCACAGCTCCATTAGACCTGCAATAATCTTAACCATATGACTTTTGGGTTTTGCCTGAAATCATATTTTAGTTATTTATAAATATGAATGGATTTAAAATTTAAGAGTCTTAGATGCTATATTTATTAACAATAAAGAATCTTATGGATCAAGCATATGACATGAGGAAAGTTTGCGAGCATTTTTCCTGCAAGTTGGTTTGGTATGCTAGTAAAGAAAAACTATAAATGATATAGACATTTTTTTCAGTGACTATAGAAACATGAAAAGCTTTCTTATATTGAAGAAATATAAGTCAGTAATGGTCAATATTGTCTGATTTACTAAGTGGGTCTAAGATATAGTTTTGTTTTGCTTAATGTGTGAACAAAAGTGAACTATACTGCTCTCTAAACCACAGCTTATAGCATGTTATGTTAACCCTGCCAATTTAACAAACTATATTTTATGGTTTTGGAAATTATGGTTAGGACAATATACCAAGCAAACTATGTCTGCTATTGGCTTACCTAAATGGTTTAGCTAATATTGATCACCTGCTCTAATCCCAGAGGACTCTGGGTGGTGTAAAGAAATGTAATAAAATAAAAAAATACATAATCATAAAACCCTAATAATACATGATAAAATGATAAAATAAAAAATAAAGATGAATGTCTCTACTCAGAATCCTTAGGCACTAGAATCTTGCTAAAACAATACCACCATTTAATTGATTGGTTTGAGGCTTTGATTGAGGCTGTACATATTTTATAGGAGAAGGCCTGTCATCCAACCATAATCCACAAACCTCATAAAGTGTTGATGGGGGAGTGGACTTTTAATAGGTCCTCTCTAAATTATTGACCCGGTCATCTAGAAAATAAGAGGTCTGAAAGAATCCATAAGCATGTGTTGGTGTTATTTTAAGAACCAGCTATTCTAATCTAAATATCTAACACTAAATATATTTCATTAGAAAATTTCTCTGGTGAGGTTTTTCAACTTTTTAGAAATCATGCTAATAATTGTCACAACCCAATTCTAGCTCTGTGGGATCCCAGTGTCCATTCTGTCTCGTTGCAGGTGGGAAGGATGAGTGCATATGCTGACATTTATGCATCAAAGCAAGGACATCAGGGTTCCACTGAAGGTGGTTACCAGCGCTATGGAGTTCGCTCTTACCTGCATCAGTTTTATGAAGACTGCACAGGATCCATTTGGGAGTACGATGATGATTTTCAGATCCAGAGATCACCCAACAAATGGAGCTCTACATTTTGGAAGGTACAGCTCCTACCTAATAATTGTCTTGCAGCAGATCTGTGGAGTGTTGACTCCAAAGACCTCACAACCCATCGGCACTAATGACTGATGAGTTTTTAGCTTTTCTATTATAACTTCATAGTTAATCATTTCAATGGAAAGATGGGATGTTTATTTAATAAATCAGTAAATACAAAATGTATTTATTCTCAGCTGTCCATTTCTTTTTATTTTGAAAGCAGAAAATTGGAATGCTTTGATGCAGCATGTTAGGCCAAATGGTAGATACAAGCTATGTAAATCTTCATCAAACTATTTTCTAAACCAGGGGTCTCCAACCCTCAGTCCATGGACCAGTACCAGTCTGCAGCATGCCAGCAACCGGTCCTCACAAACAAGCAAAGCCCTATCCGCGGGATGCAGGCAGCATATAAAACCATGCACTCTCCAGTTCACGGAAAAACCTCTCTCCATGTAACCGGTCCCTGGTGCCCAAAAGGTTGGGGACCTCTGTTCTAAACTATTCCCCCTTCAAGATACAGGAATCTATAACTCTGGAACATAAAAAAAATCAGATATTCAAAATGAATATTGGACCAAAAAGCACGCCTTTTTGCTTCAGAATAAATTGTCCCAAATTCCATTATTGGGATAGTAATAAAAGGAAAATACAGCATTCAAATTAGAAAATCAAATTATTAAATCAAAAGCTTATATATATATATATATATATATATATATATATATATATATATATATATATATATATATTCGAGTTTTCTCCCGCGTAAAATTGGAAGTGTCTTGGCGACGTTTCGACGAAGTCCCATTCGTCATCTTCAGGCTGGTGTTTTCAGCTTCGTGCTTTGAGCATTGCTCAACGTCGCCAAGACACTTCCAATTTTACGCGGGAGAAAACCCGAACAACCAAAGACCTACATACAAATACCCGCGAAAACCTCAGAAATTTATTTATTGGTGTGTTTTTTTGCTTATTATATATGTCTATGGTCAGTAGGATGATAAAGACCCTACTGATTTTCATGGGACTTAGGCACTGATAAAATTATGGTGTTTATAGACAGCTATCGCTGATCTCAAAACTCTCCAGATGTGATAAGACAGCAATTGCCAGCAAAAGCCCAAACTTTTCCACAAGAGAACAGATTCATCAGTCAACAGGATGAAAGCCTTAAGCAACTTAAGTTTCATAGAAGTGACTATAAATATCAGTGACACATTAGGTATGTTTAACATCTAAGACTATAGCCACAAAGCAAAAGCTATCAGAATAGAAAATTGCCTTGTTGATTTCTGAAATCTCTCTGTTTTTCAGGTTGGACTCATCTCGGGGACAATGTTTATGCTGACAGGGATCATAGTTCTTATAGTAGGGTTTCTAGTAACCCCCAAAATTGAAGCCCTTGGAGTAGAAGATTTTGTGGTAGTGGATACCCATGCTGTCCAATTTAACAGAGCCCTTGATGTGTGCAAGTTGGCAGGAGCAATATTATTTTGCATTGGAGGGACCACGATGGCAGCCTGTTTACTTATGTCTGCATTTGCAAAAAGCTATTCCAAAGAAGAAAAATACCTGCAACAGAAATTTAAAGAGAGAATAGCAAATATGAAAGCCCAAACATACCCAGTCACAAAAGCCCCAGCGCCTGGAGAATCCAAGATACCCGTTACATTGTCCAAAGTTCAAAATATCCAGCCATTATCTGAGACCTGATTCCTCTTCTCTCTATCCTAATACACCTTTCTTGTGAATTTGAAAAGGTTGCCTTGATTAGCACTTCAACCTGGGTTTGTAGTGCGGCAGTTCTGCACTCAGCAGAAAAAGAAGCAGGCAGGGAGGAAAAAAACCTATTTTGATAGGAACTACAGGAATGATAAGGAAGTGAAGATTTAGCCATCACTGGTTTCAGTAAAGCATTATCGTGTATGTTGTGAAGGGTTTGTTTTTTTAAAAAGTGAACAGAATCATTTAGGTTCTGGTTCATTCTTCTCCACTTATCTCTTCCTTGTTACATATTTTATTCCTTTTAAATAATGAATATGTCTGTCTGTTTAGTGTGAACAATTTAAATCGTATCCTGTTCAAAAAGAACTGTCAGAGTCCCACAAAAACGCTGTGTGTGTGTGTATCAGACAGTAGAAAGCAGGCAATTTCTGTTTCTATTAGACATGTTTATTCTCCTGGAGAGCAAGCAGAAGCACACCTTGTGCAAACATTAAAAAAAAGCCATCATATGCATGTGATTCTATTTTTTTTAATACCCAAAGCTTTCTATCCATTCTAAATTTAGAAATTTAAACCCCTTTATCTTTGGCCTTCAAAGCTTCTTCCTATTGCAATTGTGATTTTTCAGCTTGCCATTCTTTTGAGAAGGGAACACAATTTGCTTGTGTTTTGTATTTCAGAGAGGCTTAATACTGTTTTAAAGACATAGAAAACCTCACTCCCCAAACCAGAAAACTACAGTCACTTCCTCTTGCAGCCAGCTCTTTGCTTCACCATGCAAATTCATTCCCAGTAGCAAGTGGCAGTGCCATTTTTAAGTCAAAATACATAATATTGAAGGCCAGTTATTTTATCATATTTATCAAAAGCTCATCTTTTTAAAGAGATTACAATTTTTTAATCATTGAAACAAAGGCTGCATCAAACCGATTTCTTCTGGGGTCATTCTCAATCCCTCAGCCAACATATATCTTTATTTTTTTTTAACTCTTCGTTTCTATTAACATTCACCAAGGCTATAATGAAAGGTACCCAATATTTAGCATGATCAGTTGCAGGTCTGGCCTTGAGCCCTTATGAAGAAGAAAAAACAAGGCCTGGTTATGCTAGACAGGGTGCACAGGTTTACTAGAACAAGGTAAGGGCAATAAAAATCTCATCCCAGGCATTTGGATGTGTACATAGAGCTCTTATACTGTACATAGGCATATGGAAATTCTTCCTTTTAATGTCATGGTCATCAAAGACATACTACAACAGCATCAAATAATCAGAAGAGCAAGAACCAGAACTTTGTATCTCCCTCGACATCCAAAGCAGTAAAAGAGGGAGTAAAGAAGAAGAATGTCCCATACATACATACATACATACATACATACATATATACATACATACATACATACCTGCATACACAGAGAGAGAAAGCCAGAGCAAGATTGGCCTACTTCATTTGTGAACCACCATCAACATCCCTATTCGTGATTTGTTATTAATTTCAGCAGGACTGTTGTAGGAAAAATGCCAGAAAGTATCACATTTAGTTTGATGTCTGAGATATTCTTCCATCTTCCCTTGAATCTGTTTGATCTTGAGTTGAAGTACCAGATATTACATTTCTGATTAAGAAAGCAAGCTTTTCCTGAAGCAGAGAGCAGCTGTGAAAATGCTTACTCACTGTTTTACCTTGTTATTAAAAATATAAATCATACCTGTCTCAAGAGACAGTTACTGTCAACCCTTTAATCAATGGAACTAAAAAAATAACCTATGTAAAAATGTGAACTTTGTATTATTTGACAACATGTGTTCCCCTACAATTCCGTATATTTTTTCCAATGGACTAATAAAATTATTGAGAACTAGCTTCCTTGATGTGGGATTTCTTTCTTTATTTATTTAGTTAGTTAATTAGTTATAGCTATTAAATGTTCACAGTGTCATCTAGGAGTTACTGATTGGGTTCACACCTTGTATGTTTAGCCTTAGTTTATTAAGCAAATTACCGTTGTTTGGGTTCACAAAACACATTAAGCTATACATTAAATAAACAATGCTATGATTTAGAGTAATTTGTCAACTTTATTTTATGGAAGTTGGGGAAAGGAAACACACAGTTTTACAGCGATATCTCAGAAGCAGCTTTGGAAAAAAGGCAACTGGACTTCAATTCTACAATAAAATTGAAGTAGCTTGTTGGATGAGAAGCAAAAAGTTTTCAAAGAAAAAAAAACAAGAAAATCCAGTTGCCTTTTAGAAAAAGCACCTTTGGGACAGCCATGACCTGGCTGCAAAGTTTAACCTAAGAAACCTTTAAGAAGGTTGTTGTTGTTGTTGTTGTTGTTTGCAAAACAGCTAGACAAATACACACAGCATATACTGAAAACACAAGCCTGAGGGATTTTGTTATTTTAGGAACTGCCATAGCTTAGACCAGTGATGGCGAACCTTTTAGAGACCGAGTGCCCAAACTGCAACCCAAACCCACTTATGCATCGTCGGGTGCCAGGTGGATGTGGCCCATTGGGTGGGCGTGGCTGCGGTGGTAATGGCAGACAGGGTGGGACTAAAAAGTTCAATCAATCAATTCCAACTTTGCAAGATTTTTTTTTCCCCACGAGAAGCTGAAATTGACTGATTGAACCTTTTTTTGGGGGGGCACACAGCGGCGGAGACCTAAAGTGAAAGGGTTTTATAAAACCCAGCTGAAGGCCTAAGACTGGGGCGACGGCATGCGTGCCCACAGAGAGGGCTCTGAGTGCCACCTCTGGCACCCGTGCCATAGGTTCGCCACCACTGGCTTAGACATTAAACCCTAACCACAGATTTTGTACTCTATCATCAATTAGTTGAAAGGAGCACTTCATGGAACTTCATTAGTCCGAGGTAGACAGACAATAAGCACAATTATGACACTAACTCTATCTTTACTGTAGGGTTACATGAACAGACTCTTGCAAGACAGTATTTTTTCCTTCCCCTCCTTTTATTTTCTGAAAAACTAGGGAGGGTTCCTTCTGAAATGCTTCCTATGCTCCCTCCTTCTCCCTGTGGACTGAGATTCCTTTTACAGGATAGTTGTTCAATCTGTGGCTCTTCTCTTTGCCAAGGTCATTCCCAAATAACAGAATAGCAGAGTTGAAAGGGACCTTGGAGGTCTTCTAGTCCAACCCCCTGCTAAAATCAGGAAACTCTACACCGTTTCAGACAAATGGTAGTCCAAACTCTTAAAAACCTCCAATGTTGGAGCATTCACAACTTTTTGGGGCAAACCATTCCACTGATTAATTGGTCTAACTGTCAGGAAATTTTCCCTTAGTTCCTGTTGGTTCTCTCCTTGATTAGTTTGCATCAGCAGTAGTGATGACAATCGCACAGCCCACTTCAAAATATTTTAGAGGGACTGGCAAATGGAAAGGTATCATGGGAAAATGCCCTCAGCTACAAATGTCATGGAAAATGTTAAGCACCCCACTGCCCCACAACATCCTTTTCTGCATTAAAAAAGTTAATCATAGCAGTCAATCTTATGGGAGAGATTGCAGCTATTATTAAAACAAGGTATCTGAAATGTGTCAAAAAAAATAACTGGGTAAGAATTTCGGTAATTCTTGAAATGCCTCAAGAAATAATTTAGTAATTCCTCATGAAGTAATTCTATAAAATGATCCTATCAGTCTTTTCTTAGGATGTACTTTACAGCTATTGTAGCAAACCTTAACTGTAAGACTGATCTTGCTCTTTTCATGGATGTCTTATGCACTGTAATTTTCCCTCACTTCTGTCAAGAAGGCAACATAAGGGCAATAGCAAGATAGGGCTCTGTGGCCTTTCCAGTGGAATTTTAATTAAAGATTGGGAAGAACAGAAATGTGACATTTTGAGTCTCCCGGTAACAATTCCATGAAGGACATTCATAGTGACATCTGAGATAGTCACCACATTTCTCTCAATTACATCTCGATAGCATATAGTGCCTTGAAGTTAGATTTAAAAAATAATTTACATGAATTTCTAGGGGAGAAAACCCCTAAAGCTGTCAAGAAGAGAATTGTTCAGAAAAGGGCAGATGCATTATCAAACAGCAATGTTGACAAGAATGAAAAGCCCTCTAGAATTTCAATGTTTTGGCATATTTGGTCAATACAAATTCTTAAAACTTGGGCAATCAGCTTTTGACCTTCTTCAATGTCCATAGTTGTGGGAGCAAGCATAAACCACTTTTATAGATACTTAAGGGACAAAGCTGGCTTTTGGTCACTAGGACTAAATTATTAAGTTTTTTTTTTAAAAAATAACCTATTTTAACTTGTTTCAGTAACATAGTTTCAGAAGCAAAGCATTTTCTCATATTGTTATTACTTTCCTCCCCAACAGGAAAATGTTTCACCCTTAATTAGATTACACAGAAATAAAAATAGTAATGTTAGAATTTTACCCCCATAATAGCATTTATCTTGATTCTTTCTATCAAAGGACGAATACAATATTTTGCACTAAAGTCCTTTCCTAGAGAGCTTTGCAAGTCAACTTACATCTGATCTCATCATTATGACTGCAGATGCAGAAATAATAAAAAAGAAACAACTTGAGGGGAAAGCTTGAATATTGTTGACCCACACAATAAGAGGCAAATAACCTTGAGCATAACAAGATGGCAAGCAAGAAAATGCTGCTACCTCTTAAGGGCAACCTGGCTGAATCACAATCCATATTACCATATAATATAAATTCCCCTTGTTGCGCTGTAGCATTCAACCAATCCTCTCAGTTCTCTACCAAACAACTCCAACCATTGTTTCTGGATTTTGAAATCCAACAAACACATAGAGCAGAAGACAAATAGCTTGTTCAATTTATGCTGAGCTCTGATTTATAGTAGCATAGCTTGATTAGCAATCACTGCTTTTTACTTCATATTGATGAATGCATTCTCAGTTTAGGCCATTTCTTTCATTTGCTGATGATGAGCCTCTTCTCCTTGTTTTGTTTTGTTTTTTAATATAATTATTCCCATAGCATGAGCTGAAGGATGGGAACATCTCTTCTCTCTTCTTCAGTGGCAATGTGGCAATAGAAAAGTTTCCATTATGATTTTGTGCAGTAGCTCCAAGTTGGTTTTGATAGCATCACAAACATTATTTGGTAGCCTGATGCATTTCATCTTTATAGTATTTTGTAAAAAAAAAAAAAAAGAGGAGGGGAACATAAAAATTTGGTTGCCATTTTCTTAATTATCATAACTTATTTTTTGTAATAGCATCTGTAAATATATGGGTAGTCCTTATTTAGTGACTGCCTTGTTTAGAGACTCTTCACAGTTACTATGGTGTGAGAAAATAACTCACATTTTTTACTTTTACAAGTCTGTAAATCAAAGGGAAGCTGAAATAAGTTCATAAACATAATTGCAGCTTCACTTAGGGACTGCTTAATGACTAAGTTCCTGGTCCCAATGATGATCACTAAACAAGGACTACCTATGGCATATTAAACAGCATCATAAGTCAAAGCCCAAAAATATATCCCTGTTTATAAATTAAAAGCTGAACTAAACAAAATCGATAATATTGCATTGTTAAATTGTTCCATTTGTGTGATCCATTCATAAAGGCATTTGTTATTTAACAGATTTGCTATCCTGTTTCCAAAAGGCATTAGATATATTTGCGTTGAGAGAATTTATTGGTAAATTGAGAGAAACGCATAAAAATAAGAATAGGCAAATAGATTAAAACATCATTTAAACCAGATGCAGTAAATACTAAATTCAAATGTATGGCCAAAATAAAAGAAAGAAGTTAGGCCCAAAATGTCATAAGCAAGCCATAGAAAAAACTGACCTCAGCAATTGGCAGATGGCGAAGAAGGACTTCAACTGTCTGACAAGCTCCTTTTAGGAAAATTCATTCTTAGACAACAGAAATAGGGCAGAGTTTGCCAACAAATCTTGCTGCCTGAGGTTGTATTTCCCTCAAGGCAAAGAACGTATTAATCAAGCCAGCTAATTCATTGCAACATCTGAATCCTTTGTCCAAGGGATATTTATCTATCCTGATATAGTACTAATGGTACAATTTTAATTTATTAATAATTTGTTCTCCTTCATGGCACACTAACTATGATAGGACCAGTCCAGTATGATAGAACTAACTATGACAGAACCAGCATCCAGTATGGATACAATTGATAGAATTACTAGGAAGGTAGTTCAACCCTGTGACTTCTTAGTCTCCTTTAGACCATCTTTTACAGTGGTTTTCTTCCCAGCTTGACTTACATGAATTATCAACACCCTACTGAGAAGAAAGAGCCTTAAGTAATGTCTCATAGTGAGATAAAAGAGACGGAGACAGAAAGGCTACCTTAGCTCTTCTTGTCTACATACGCATGACTTACATATCACTGGGAGACAGATGTGAATGTGGATAGTGACCCCATTAGCCAGAGGGTCTCTTAACATCAGCACTCTAGTTGATGGGAAATGGAAGGGACAAGAGCAGGCCTTCCTGTCACTTGGGTTAACAATCTGAAAACAGTCACCCAGTATCACATAATATTAGCTGACTCCAGGCAGGAGGTCTTAGCATGGGCAGACACCGTGCGGTATGTTTTCTATCTCTGTATATTGTTCAAAAGTTAAAGAGTCACATTAATTATTATCCTGGGACACATATATTCGCCTTCATTCATGAGGTAAATGTAAGTAACACAATCAATGTTACTATTAGCCACAGTAAGTTAGACATTTCAGACAGCCTATGCTGGGTGATGAAGAACAGAATTCTAATAAAGGAGTATATTTGTTGCTCAGGATTGAAATGAGGGGTCCTTGGTGCTCTCTGAGCTTGGTTGTTTTCTTGCA